GTGGACAGCGACGGCAGCGAGGACGCCGAGGTGAAGGACGCCTCTGTGTCAGAGGAATCGGAAGGAGCTCTGGAGGAGGCTGAGGCCGAGATGTCAGGACAGGAGGAGGCTCGGCACCCCCCGCCAGCTGAAGGTGCCTTGTTCTTTCTGCCCCGAATCAAGGCGCCCAGTGTGTGCCGGGAGCCGCGGCTGGGCCGGGAGTGCCCTGCCAAGAAAGCCCTTCCTGAGAACAAGGGCACCCTGTCCCGGGGCGGCTTCCGCGGGCCGCGCTGCGCTGTGTGAGACGGGTGTGTGTCTGTGCACGGGGAGCTGACACCCCGACAGCTGTGTGGCCTTGGGAAGGGAGGCCTGGGGCTGCTTGGCGCTTGGTGAGATGGAGGAGGATTGAGGGGACCTGCTTGCACCGGCTTCGCCTGGGACACCCCGCTGTTGGCAAAAGCTGGTGTGATGGACCAAGGTCCAAGCCCCCTCGCACCCAAGCTCCTGGGTCTGAGGTGGCTGGCTAACTTACTGCCGGCCCCGCAGGGCCCCCGCACCTGCCTCCGTCCGGAGCTGCGGCTGCGCCTGAGGGTGCTCCATCCCTTGGAGCCCGGGCGCAGGGCTGGCGCGGAGAGTACCCCACATCTTAGTCACTGCCCTGAAAGCATTTAAATTTGGGTCCTTTAAAAAGTATAAATTTGTCTATTACTTTTCAATTTTGAAACAATTTTTAAAAATCTGATGTAGTCTTTGAGCTCCGTTTTGTGAGGTGACTTAGAAAATACCACATGGTGTTCCCGTCTGCCCCTAAGAAAGCTCACTGGCCTGAGGTCCGGGCCGTGGCAGTGATGCAAATGACCTCATGCTGCCCACTGCTGGGCGGGACAGGCCTGGACGCCGCCTCCCGCGGCCCCTTCACGTGGCTTTTCTGCTCTTGTGCAGGAAGGAGCCCTGTCCAGACTCATTTCGGCTCCAATCCCATCGGCACCGCCACGGGCTCCTCCAAAGGCAGCTACAGCAGCTTCCAGGAGGTCATTGCCACTTCCCTCCTAGACCTGGGCCACGTCTCCAAGGAGCCCCTGGTCAGGGAGGGCTCCAGCCGGCAGGCTGCAGGCCCCGGGGTCCTGCGCCTGGTGCAGGAGGAAGCGGAAGGAGGGGCTGCCGGCCAAGGAGGGGAGAAGGAGGTGTTTATCCAGCCCGAGGACATCGAGGAGGTCATTGAGGTCACCAGTGAGTGCACCCAGGGGCCTGGGCCCCAGTTCCCGGAGGGCGTGGCCAGCGGGGAGCTCTGCCAGCTGACAGGCTCTGAGGGCCAAGAGGAGAAAGAGGAGGGGGAAGCTGAAGAAGAGGAGGAAGAGGAAGAAGAGGAGGAGGAGGAGGAGGAGGAGGAGGAGACCGAGGACGGGGAGGATGAAGAGGACGAGGAGGTCACTCCTGATGTGACCTGCCGGGAGAGCACCCCTCGTTCCCCCCCAGAACAGGCCCCTGAGCCCCCCTGCCGCAAGCCAGAGTACTCGGTCCTGGTGGAGCTGCGGTCTGAGGACGGCAAGGATGAGGACTCCAACTCCCAGAAGTCCGCGGTCACGGACGAGTCCGAGATGCACGACGTGATGACACGGGGGAACCTGGGCCTCCTGGAGCAGGCCATCGCCCTGAAAGCTGAGCAGGTGCGGGCGGCGTGCGAGCCCACAGAGCCGGGCCTGGGCGAGCCGGCGAAGGTGGCCAGGCCTCTGGATGTGGTGCGGAAGACCTACTGCAGCAAAGGTAGGGCTGGCGCGGGCCTACACGCCCCCCCCCCCCCCCCCCCCCCCGCCTCCAGGGACGCCAGGTGTGCAGGGGCCCATGCAGCGTAGCCAAGGGGCAAAGGTCACAGGCCACAGAGAGAGGCATGGAGCTGAGGACTGAGGACGGCTCACGCTGCGCACACGGGGCCACCAGAGGGCAGCGCTGAGCGGAGGCAGCAGCTGAGGGGAGGGGAGGAACAGTGACCCAACTCAGTGGCTCAGCCTCAGCCTGGGAGCCACGGGGTGGGAGGGACTTGTGGGAGCTGTAGGTCATGGGGCTCCTCGCTTGTGGAGACACAGGGCCATGCTTTCTGGAGACGATCGCGCCTGTGGGACGGCGCAGGGGCATAGCCGAGGGGACACAGATGGGGACGTTATTTCAACCCGAGGAGAGCTGTCAGGGGAGACCCTTTGGGGGTGGCAGTCTGGGGGACAGCAGTTTGGGGCTCCTAGTCAGGCCAGCACGGGCTCCTGCGCAGGCCTGGAGGGGACGTGGACCCGAGGAGGTCCGAGTGAAGGTGACATGGACTTCGGGGTGGTGTAGGGTGCCAGTCTGAGGGCGGCCGTGGGGTCCGCAGTGCAGTGGAGAGGGGCTATAGGCAGTGACAGCTCAGGCCCAGGTGCTCAGGGGCTTATACTGGGCGGCAGGGGACCCAGATGCAGTGCCTGCTTTCAGGGCTAAAGTTGAGGGCAGGGTCCCAGGGAACAAACCCAGAAGGCTGGTGCCAGGCTTTGCGAGGCCGCCCTGTGAGCGAGGCTATGGCCTCTTAGCTTCCCCCAGAGGGGCCGCTCTGCACAGGAGCTTCACCAGATTCTGACAGGAGTCCACTTTGGGCCTCCACACGTATGAGTGACTCTCCAGCTTTGCAGAGAGCAGATGAGGCTGGTGACTGAGACTTGAGCTTAAATTTCCGCCCCCACACTTAGTAGGCATGTCATTTGGGTGAGTTTCTTAACTTCTCTGTCCTCCTCATTTTGTCACAAACAAATGGCCAGTCCCGGCAGGGACCTTTCTCTGCAGAGGCGGACCCTGAGCGTGGGGCTCTGGGAGGTGTGCCCTCACTCTGAAGCCGGGGGCAGAGGGACCGGGCTGGCTGCCCCCGTGTCCCTCAGCTCCAGTGCAGCTGCTCTTGGGTGCCCGGTCAGTCTCTGGGCTTCTCCGGCCTGTGGGCAGATACACGTGTGCCTCTGGAGTTGCCTCACTGTGCAGCCCTGGTCCCTCTAGGGCTGTGGGCAGACTGGCCATCTCCTCCCTGCACGCCAGAGAGAAGGATCAGCTGTCCTCGCCACCCAGCTCGCAGCTTCCTGGGCACCTTCTGACCGGTGTGTTGTGTGTTTAGATTCCTCCAGAGCAGAGAAACGTGAGATCAAGTGCCCAACCCCGGGCTGTGACGGCACCGGGCACGTGACGGGCCTGTACCCGCACCACCGCAGCCTGTCCGGATGCCCCCACAAGGACAGGATCCCTCCAGAGAGTGAGTCCTCCTCAGAACTCGGGACACAGCTGGTGTTGGATGCTGTCTAAGTGGCCACTTGGGCCCTGTCGCTTGGATTGGCTCAGTCCAGATGCCCGTACGAGAGCCCTATGAGGCTGGGGACATGGAGCGTGCCCCGTCGTGCATCTTGAGAAGGCAGCTTGGGTCAGGGCTCCCTGAAGATGGGCATGGGAGGCACAGCTGAGGGAAACGAAGCACCCCCCTACTGGGGCAGGGGCTGCGTCTGTACCCTGAGGGCTCAGGAGCCTGTCCCGGCCCAGGCTGAAGGCGGTAACTGAAACGAAGGCTGACAGGACCCAGTCGCACTGCACGGCTGGGAGTTTCCAAGCTGAGTTGTTTCTGCCCCAGGAGCAGGGGGCGGGGGCGGGGAGGTGGGGGCATGCCCTGACTGGGCTGAGACTTGGGGACTGGAACTGCCCTGGACCATGGCTCAAGGTGCAGTGTGCCTGCGCTGTGAGCTGCAGCCTCCGGTGGACTCCGGCCTCAGGGCTGTGCTCACAAGCCTTCTCTTGCAGTCTTGGCCATGCACGAGAACGTGCTCAAGTGCCCCACCCCCGGCTGCACGGGCCAGGGCCACGTGAACAGCAACCGGAACACACACAGAAGGTACTTGCCCAGCTGGGCGTGGTGGGGCGGGTGGGGCACAGGGCTGTGGTGGCCCCTGAGGGCAGCCATAAGGCCAGGGCAGCCCTTAGTGTCACTGGGTTAGAATCTCCCCAAACAAACCACCTGAGCAGCGGGTGCTCTGACGCCCGAGCCCAGAGCAGAAGAGGCCAACTCTGGCAGAGCGACAGCCCCAGGCCCCACAGGCTTCTGCCGCGCCCCTGGCCAGCGGACAGGGTCCAGAGGAGAGCCTCAGCTGTCCCCCTGTCCTTCTCTAGTTTGTCTGGGTGTCCCATTGCTGCAGCAGAAAAGTTAGCCAAATCTCATGAGAAGCAACAGCCGCAGACAGGAGATCCTTCCAAGTTGGACTCCAACTCAGAGCGGATTCTCAGGCGAGTGCAAGCACTGAAGGGGCTGCCTGCGGGCGGCACGGCCTGTGGGTGTGGGTGTGGGTGTGGGTGTGGGTGTGTGCCTCTAGTAGCCACGGGCCTTCCAGCATGGAGCTGGAGAGCAGTTTCAGGGTGCACGGACTCTCTGGCCTGCTGCAGAGGCGGGGAGGGTGGGGGGCAGGCTCTTTCGTCCTGAGTGGTTGACAGTCCCCTCCTGGTGGTCTTCCTGCCGGGCTCCTGAGCTCTCTGGGCTGGTCTTCATACCGCCTCTCATGCATTCAAACACCTGCATTCTCACAAGAGCTTCAATAACAAAGACACGGCCCGCCCGTCGTGGCCTTCCCACCCTGCCCAGTCCCTGCCCAGTCCTTCAAGGGCCATCTCAGTCGTCCTTGCCGTGAAGAGCTGCGTCGGGCCAGTTGTGAGGGTCCTCCTTGAGGTTCTCAGACATCTGCTGCAGACTTGCTCCCTGGGCCCATACCCCCGCCGGAGGCTGCCCTGGGCGGCCCGCAGCCAAGGGCTCCCTCGCATGTTGCTGAGCTGTTTGAAACCTACTCTCCTGAGGTCGCAGGCCCTGCCTCCTCTGGCTAATGCTGTCTGCAAGGGGTCAGGCCATCTTCCTCACCCAGACCAGGCCCCGGGCAACTGTTAGTGGTGGGACATGGGGGAGGGTCTCTGAGGGTCCCTGACAGGCTGGGGGATGAGTAGCACTGGGTTCCTGGGTCCTGCCCTCACGGTCTGCATCTGTCCCGCACCCCAGACCCATGTGCTTCGTGAAGCAGCTCGAGGTCCCTCCGTATGGAAGCTACCGGCCCAGTGTGGTCCCTTCCACGCCCAGGGCCAACCTGGCCAAGGAGCTGGAGAAGTTCTCCAAGGTCACCTTTGACTACGCAAGTTTTGATGCTCAGGTTTTTGGCAAACGCATGCTTGCCCCAAAGATTCAGACCAGCGAAACCTCACCTAAAGCCTTTAAATGTAAGTTGGGGAGCATTGCTCCTGGGAGGTGTAGAGTGAGGAGCAGTGGAGGGACTCGGCCAGGAGGGCGTCTGCCCTGGGGCTGATGGGGCACACCCAGGGCTCAGTGTCCCAGGGTCCACCTCCTTTTCACCGTCAGACTCCCCGCTCTGAAACTAAACCAAGCCCTTTGGGGGGCGTGTGTGTCGAAAGGTGTGAGAAGGACGTCGCTGCTGTGGCCACCCTGAGAGGACCCCTCTTCTGGCCACCGCTCCCAGCCTGTTCGTTCCAGAGCGAGGCAGGGTGTGTGCGAGTGCGTGCACATGTGTGTGCATTGGTGTGCATGCATGTGTGTGTATGTCCAGGGCGGGTCAGACAACTGCTGTGTTGAGCCTGGTACCTGACAGGAGCCATTTCCCTTCCTGCTGGGGCAGCCTGGTGGATGCAAGGTGCTCTTTGTGACAGTAAGCAACGCAGTCTCTGGTGTTTGTACAATAAACACGGACCTTTGGGAGCACCCTGCCTGCCCTTGGACTCACCACACTGCTTGCCAGCCCTGAGCCGGGAGGGGCATTGGAAGTGGAGAAGCGCCTGCGGCCGGCATGGAACTGGCCTCTGCGGGAGGAACTGGCCCCGGGTGCAGCAGTGACGGTTTCCTACCTGTTAACAACGAAGATGCCGATCGAGACGCGTCCTGGAGCTCAGGGCAGCCCGCCTCACACAACACCAGCGCCACGCGCTCCGCCTGTGTGGCCCTCAGTCTGATCGCTCACACACCTCAGGCCCGAGAGCACCATTACCAGGAAAGACGCCATTTGTGCCTGATGTTTGTGCGGACGTTCACGCTGCTTTACCAAAGCGGGGACGATTATGGACACACCCCACCAGCCTTTGGGATGATTGACATCAGAGACCTGCCTGGTGGCATCCAGACAGCCGTCCTGTTGGCAGAACTCTTTCACCAACAGACAACTTGTCTTTTTTTTTTAAAATATCAGGGCTGCTGGAATGTCTTTGAGGGTTTTATTCTTTCTGCACACATTTTGGTCAAGCCAGATTCAGCCTCCTCAGCCCCAAAGGGAGGGCAACGGGAGCTGGTGTGGGCACCTGTGCGCAGTCTGAACGGCCCTGCCCGACCCCTTCCCCACAGCTCTGCCCTGCGCCCCCGCGCTCCCGTCCGTGTGCACCTGTGCGCCACCTGCTGCCCAGGCTGTACGGCAGCGTGGTGGTGTTCCCTCTGTGCCGCCAAACCTTCCCCAAGGCCTCCTCCCACAGCTCCTGCTCTCCGCCCTCTCTGCAGGCTTCGACTACGCGCACGACGCGGAGGCTGCGCACATGGCGGCCACCGCCATCCTGAACCTCTCCACACGCTGCTGGGAAAGGCCCGAGAACCTCAGCACGAAGCCACAGGAAGCGCCTGGCAAGGTCGGTGTGTCCCCTGCGTGCCCTTTCGGAGGCAGACGTCGCGCGGAGGAATCTGCACTCAGGGCTACCTGTCCATCTGGGGCGGGGGCTGCTTTCTCCCTCTCCCTCCGCTGTGGCTCCTGGTGAGCAGAGCTCGGAGGTGCCCTCTGAGAGCTCTGTGTGCCGAGCCCACAGAGGGACCACACGGGCGCTCCAGCGAGCCTCCTTGAGACTGAGGGCCACACACACATGTGTTCTCTCACATCTCTGGAGTCTATCGTGCACACGTATGTTCCCTCGTGTCTCCCTGAGACTGAGGGTCATGCACATGTTCTCAGCTGACCATGCTCATGCCCTCAGGGCCCGGTCTGGGGCCCAGGGGGACTGAAGGAGGGAGGTCACTGTCTGGCTATTTCCTTCCGAGGGAAGTGGGTCTGGGCGCTCTGCAGCGCCGCCTTGGGGAGGGTGTGGGTCAGGACGCAGACGCCCCTTTGCGTTGTAGGCGGTGGCCATCGAGGTGGATGAGCACGGGACGCTGGACCTGAGCATGCGCAGGCACCGCAGGCGGGAGGGCCCGGCCCCCGGCAGCGGCCCCGGGGCGAAGGCTGCCGAGGCCTCCCAGCACCAGAGCGGCACCAGCGCCCCCCGCAGCTCCGTGGCGCCCCAGTCCAGCCAGGCCTCCCACCAGGATGAATGGGACCGGCCTCTGGACTACACCAAGCCCAGCCGCCAGCGAGAGGAGGAGCCTGAGGAGGTGGGTGCGCGGCCTGAGGGGTCCCGTCCCTTTGCACCGGTTCTGCTCTCTCGGCAGCGAGGACTCGGCCGGGGTTCTGCCAGTGCGAGCGCGAGGTCTCCTTGCCTCTAAGCCACGGTGGGGCCTGAGAGAGTCCGGAGAGAGGGGCTTCTTTCAGAGCTCCTTGGTTTTGGGGCTTCCCACCAACCTGCTTCCCAAAAAACACACCTGAACCCTAGCCGCAGCCCTGGGCTCTGCAGGCCACGGGCCCGTGGACAGAGGCGGGAGAGAACTGGCCCCATAGCCTCCGCGCTGGGCGGTGGCCTGGGCCCAGACAAGCACCGCCTGGTGAGCAGCAAAGAGCTGGCGCCTGTGCCGGACGCGTCTGGCTGGGCGGGCAGTCCCTGCCCAGCCGCTCCCCCGAGCTGAGATCTGGCTGGTGGAGGGCTTTCCCCGAGAGCTGTGCGTCCCGGACAACAGAGCCCAGCTCTGCGGGCCGCACCGCCCTGGCAGCTCTGCCGTGTGGGCAGGTCCCCTGGCCCCTTCCTCCCCGCCGGCCCCTCACCGCGGAGGGCAGGGCAGGTCACTGTGAGGAGGAGGGGGCAGGGAGACCGCTCGTCCGAGCACTGTCTTGCTGGGAGCCAGGCTCCCTCTACATGCGTCACACGCACCCCCACTTTACAGAGCGCAGACGCGGCCCAGGCTGAGGCCACACGCCTGTCATTTGGTGTCTGGCACCGAGGAGGGTGGCCTCTGAGACAGCCCCCGTGGGGGGAGGCTGCCCAGACCCGCCCACGTGGGCTGTGCTCCCACCTCCTCCCTGCTCGGCAGGCCCGTCTTTACTTGGGACCTCCTTGTGGGGGCTGCAGTGCAGGTGGGGCCTCTGCCTCTGTGTCGTCCTTGTTCCTGTCTCGTCCCCAGGACTTAGCTGGCCTCTGCCCCTCCCGTCCCCCCGCGACTTTGTCCCTAGTGGCCCCTTTGTCTCCTCCCCTGACCCTTCCTCAGCCCTCCTCAGGCTGACCCCCATCCCTGGCCGGTGCCCTTCTCTCCGAGCATCCTCGTCCCCTCCCAGGACTGACCGTCATCGATGGGGTGGCCCAGAGGCCCCACCCCAAGTTCCCGCCACTGAAGCCTGCTCCCACTCTCTGCCCTGTGGCCAGCAGCCCCTCCAGGCAGAAGCCTCAGCTCAGCCCTGTCCCTTCCTCTCCCCAGCTGTCTCTCCCAGGCATGCAGCACCCCCTGAGCCAGGCCTTCCCTGTCCCTGCCCCACCACCTGCCTCCCAGCGCAGACACTCCTTCCAGCGGCACTGTCCCACACCCACGGCCCCGCATTCCCTTCTCGGCGCTTCTGGGAGCCCGTCCACGCCGAAGAGCAGCTTTTCTAAAATCAAGTTTATTGGGGAGACATTGGTCAATAGCTTGCAACTCAGCCAGGCGAGTGAGTCAGTGACAGGACAAGACCTCGAGCAGCCTCCCACGGCTGGTGCTCCAGGCCGGTCCTCCTTTGCCCCCCGAAGGCCTGTGCGGGGCTCCCCTGAGCTCCACATCCAAAGGGGCAGCTCAGCCCCAAGAGGCTGAACATTGCAGGGACACAGCAGGGACCAGTGCGAGGGGTGCGCCGTGACGCCTGTGTGGGCCGCCTTAGGGAGCGCCGGCTGTGGTGCAGGCATTGCTGGGGCGCCAAGGCCAGCTGGCCGCATCAGGGTGATCGATCTGTTACGCGCTGGTGTGGTTACTCCTGTGCCACCTCATCGTCACAGCCTCTCCACCAAGACGGTTTGGCGCCCGCTGTGCTGAACGCCCCCTCCGAAGGGTGGCGAGGTGTGTGTTCAGGAGGTGGTACGCGGAGGATGTCAGGTCTCCTGCCAGGCAGCTCTGGCTGAGGTCGCAGGGCACCAGCCCCTCGGGGTGCTGTCTTCTGTGTCTGTTGGGGGTGCTCTTCTCCCTTATCTGGAGGATGGGAGACTCCAGGACTCGCCTCGGTGGCCACTGCTCTGAAGGGTCCTCTCCCTCAGCCCTGGGCGGGCGCCTGGCCCGCCAGCGGTTAAAACCTCTCCCTGCTGGTCTTTTGCAGTCAGAGCCAGCAGCCCATTCTTTTGCTTCTTCTGAAGCAGATGACCAGGAAGTGTCTGAAGAGAATTTTGAGGAGCGGAAGTACCCTGGGGATGTCACCCTGACCAACTTTAAGCTGAAGTTTCTCTCCAAGGACATAAAGAAGGAGCTGCTCACGTAAGTCTCACCTGGGGAACCTCAGTGTGGACTGGAGTTTAGCTGGGCTGGGCTGGGAGGACGGACTGCTCTGTCTGGCCTTCCGCTGCCCTCTACGCAGAGGGGCCTTGACCAGGCACTGCGCTGGCTCTCACGTGGTCCTCGAACGCGACAGAATGAGAAAGAGGCCCTGATCTCCCCATGCACCAGGCCGGGGCCGAGGGAAGCCGCGGCCAGGCCTGACCACTGCCCTCAGCTCCGGAAGTGGACTGGCCCTCTGAGCTGGTCCTCAGGAACCAGGTGTCATCGGAGAGCGGGAAAGCTGCTGGGAGCTATTCATAGACAAATGAATCCACACCCTCCTGTGGGCCCGTGAGAGCCGGCTCTCAGAGCAGGGCGAGGCCGCGCCTGTGCTGCCCGTGCCAGCTCCTCTTCTGGTCCTGAGCCCCCTGCTCCGCAGCTGCTCCCAACACGGCCAGCGTGGGCTCTGGCTGGCCCCTGTCCTCAGGGAAGGCCGTGCTCTTTGGAAAGAACCTCCTGTGTGTTCATGAGCACCCACACGTGTGCGGAGCTTTGCCTTGGTTCCCTTTCCCTCTGAGTCGAGTTCTCTGGCAGCTGCCGTCCGAGGCTGAGGCCTGAGGGAGGTGTTGCCGGCGGTGACGCAGGCGGTGACCCAGATGGTGGCCCAGCAGGCTCCGGCGGGCCCCGCTCTCCTCTGACGCTCTCTTTCTTTGTCCAGCTGTCCCACCCCGGGCTGTGACGGCAGCGGCCACATCACCGGGAACTATGCCTCCCACCGCAGGTTCGTCCCCTCTCGGGCTGCCTGGCCGGGTGCTGCGTGGCGGGCCTTCCTCCTCTCCTGCTCTGCTCCCCTCTGGCTTACCCCCTCTCTTGTCTTTCAGCCTCTCTGGTTGCCCTCTTGCTGACAAGAGCCTCAGAAACCTCATGGCTGCCCATTCTGCTGACCTCAAGTATGTCTGCCCTCCTGGCCGCCCTCTCTCGGGTGGCTCCCTAGCTTTGCTGTCCCCTTCCATGAGGCTCCAGCCCAAACTGTAGGCTTCAGTCCCTGGCCTGCCCGCCTGCAGGAAGGGGCAGAGAGGCAAGGCCGTGGAGGAGCCGATTCCGTGGTTGGGGCCGCTGTGCTTGTGTCTGCTGCTCTGAGGCTGCTGTCTGTCTGTCCCCACCCGCTGGGCCGCTGCAGGCTCCTGTGCTGGCCTGACCTCTCCTGTGCTGAGGGCCCTGACGAGGGCCTGCTCCCCTGCATGTGGGTGGACCAGCCCAGAACAGCGCTGCAGGCTGCTAAATGGAGTGCTGCTGCTGGTGCAAGAGAAAGCTCCTTCCCTCCCTCTCTGCAGCCCTCCAGCTGCTGGTCTTGGCCATGGTGTCCCAGATGTGCCTCTCCTCCTCCTCCTCCCTCTGTCTGCCGAGCTCATCCTCTTTCTGCTTCTGCTCCTCCCTTCCCCTAACGCACGGCCTGGCAGACTCGGTGGCACCGGCACCTGCCCAGCAGCCTGCTCGATGCACCCAGAGGTTCCCAGGTCTCCGTGTCCACTTGGCGTGGCCTGGGACTGGCCTTGCCTTTGTGTTCACGCCTTCAGTTGACCTGTGACCGGCTGGTCCTGGCTGAGCCAAGACGGGGAACGAGGTGTTCCTCTGGCCCCTGGGGTCACCCTTTGCGGCTGCTCCTCCCTCCAGGCCTCTGTGTTGGGAGGCCCTGGGTCCAGACAAGTTTCCCTGGCTGCTCCACGCGGGGCCAGACGGAGCGGGCCTGGTGCCGAGCTGCGAAGCTGCTGTGCCAAAGCTCCCAGGCCCTGAGCTGCTTAGACACGGCAGGAAGCTCCAGGCACCCGAGCGCTCTGCCACCGCGGGGAGCGCCTCCTGCCCCTTGCTGCAAGGAGCTCGTTCCCAGGGGCGCTGGCCTGTTTACCGCCCAGGGTCTTTCTGGGAGTGCCCGCTGGGACAGCGTTTCCTAAGGCGTGGCTCATCCCCACTCCCGCCTGGGTCCAGCCCGGAAGCCCAGCGGAGCATGCAGCCCCACTGGGACCCTCCTCGCCCCCAGCCGCTCTCTCCCCTCGCCCACGCTCCTTCCTCCTGTTTTCCAATTCAACTGCCTTTCTGGCCTGGGATTGGTTTTCATGGATTTCTGGTTTGAGGGTGTGAGCGATTTCAGAGCCATGACAACGTGTGCTCAGGGCCACTGGATGGACAACACCAGAAACGTGGCTTTGAGAGTGTTGCACCCTTTTCAGACTAAAAGCCTGTGAAGAACTGCAACTGAGCCCGGCTGGTGCTCAGTGGTTAGAACATTGGCCTGCAGACTGAAGGGTCCCAGGTTCTATTCCCGGTCAAGGGCAATATCTTGGTTGCAAGTTCCAGGGCTGGAGGCAACCAATTAATGTGTCTCTCTCTCCCTCTCCCCATCCTCCCCCCTCCCCCACTTCCACTCTCTCTAGAAATCAATGGAAAAAATACCCTTGGGTGAGGATTGAAAAAATGACTCTAACCCAGAACATATTTAGAAGCAGCACCAGCAGCTTCCTGTGTGCAACAAGCTCCCCAGCCTCAGGCGTGCCGCTGTCCGGAGCCTCCCCTCAGGGGCTCCGGGGCGGGCGGGCTCTTTCCCTGGATCCTTCTCCCTCGCCCTGTCCAGTCCAGACACTCTGCCAACCCCTCGCAAGGGAGGCTCTTTCGGTGCCTTCCTAGCGACGCCTGGGTGCAGTGAGTCTCGTACGATGTCATCTGTATTTTAATTAAATCCGTTTGCTCTTCCCCTTCACGTGCCCCGGTGCGGTCAGAGTGGGACTTGGCTGCCCAGCACCCTCTGTGTGGGGAATTGGGGTGCAAAGGTGTGATGGGGGCTCTGCACAGGGTGGAGACAGGGGTGGGGCTCAGGGGAGAGCCCGTGCGTCGCCATGCCCCTCGGGCACAGGCTTCCTGCTGCCCAGGCAGCCCGCTCACAAGCAAGTGGTGGGAGGTCCCTGCAGCTGGCCCTGTGGGTCCTCAGGGCCCCGAGAGGGGCTGGTGCCAGCTGATCCAGCCACACGACAGCACCCTCTCTGGGACACGACTCTGGGAAAAGCTGTGGAATTGGGTCTCAGTAAGGAGTGAGGACAGTCTCAGCGGCTGGGTCAGGTGTGCCTCAACGGGACCCTGGGGTTGCTGGTCCCACCTGTGTTGGGCCTGGCAGGCATCGCCCGTGTGTGCTCCTGCCCTAAATCAGATCCCATGGGGCTGCACCTTGCAGGGCCCTTCCCCACCATCAGGAGCCGTTAAGGCTGAGATCACCACCCGCCTTGGGCCTCTGAGTCTCACTCGGGGGTGGAGGCAGAGGCCTGAGCAGCGCCTCCACCCTCCGCGCTGCACTTGCCTCGGGAGCACTCCCAGGCCCCTCGTTTGAGGAGAGGCCGCAGGGCTGGGCCTCAGCACGGAGTCAGGTGAGGACCGTGTGCCTGAAGGACCCGAACAGCTGGCGCTGGGCCTCAGGCAGTGCAGAGACATGGGGCAGAGCAGGCGTGGAGGGCAAGGCTGCCTGGATGGCTGTGGCGGCTCCTGTTAAAATGCCCTTGTCCCAGACATGGTGGGTTGCCATGTGACCACATGTGACTGGACAGAAACCATCATAACCTCAATGGGGTTGGAGTTACCCCACAGCCTGGTCAGGGGGTGATTGACTGGTTGGTTGACTGCCATGTAGGGAGGTGTCTGATGTGTGACCCTAATGTGGACAGCGATGAGGAGGGGCCCCAGGAAGTCCTGAGGGCAAGGAGAGGCCAGAGGAGGCTGGGCATGGAGCCCCCCGTCGCGTGCCCACCTCGAGGGTTCCCATGGGGACAGGCAGTGCCGCCTGCTGGGTTCTGGAAGGTGCTACTGTGTCCGAGGAGCATCCGTGGGCAGCACCAGCTTCCTGTCCCGCCCCCAGTCCAGGCGCTGTGTGTGCTGAGGGGCACCGAAGAAGGGGTCGGCAGGCAAAGGCCTGTGTCCTGCTGCAGCGTAGTCACAGCCCCTCAGGCCACGTGGACGCTGGGTTCTGTGTGGGAGGGCGAGGGGGGGCAGTGGGAGTCCTGGGAGTATCGGTTCCCCCATGCACCCCACAGGCCTGCCGGTCCCCCGCCCGGCCGGGGGCACCCGCACGGGCACCTGCAGAGCCAGGCCCGCACCCACAGGCGCGCACGGTGCTCAGAGGTCATTTGGGAAAAGTCATTTAAGGGAGCCACGCTACAGTGGGATTTCTACCGTCTCTGCAATGCGTCTGCAACGCCCTGTGCGGGCAGAGCTGGTCCTGTGCCTGCTCCCCACCCCGCCCCGGGTGAGAACATGCCGCACAGCTGCCCTGGGCCCGGGCGGTGGCGCTCACACCGCAGTGCCTCCTTCTGGAAGCCCTCTCCTCCCAGTGACACCACGAGACAAGGTGCTAGGTGCTAGGCTTGCCTTCCTGGCCGCGTGTAGCGTGAAGGCCGGTGTGTGTTCTGGAGCCTTCTATTGCAGCCCCAAACCCCGCACGAGCTCAGGTTCGGAGCCAGCATCCCTGCTGAGGGGCTGTGCTCTCCTCTTGGCCTTCCTGGGACTCCGTGGGGGACTCACTGGCAAAGCAGTGAAGGCTGGAGGCCCGGTGGAAGGCTGGCCAAGATGGGCACCCCCGACGGCGAGGCCCCCCGGGCGGGCGTCTTCACCGGCTCCATCCCAGCTCCCTGTCCCTTTGCTTTGCAGGTGCCCCACCCCCGGCTGCGACGGCTCTGGCCACATCACAGGGAACTACGCTTCGCACCGCAGGTGAGCCTGCCACGCCAGGGGTGCCGGGCGGGCCTCTCTCAGGTGAAGGGGTGAAGGTCCAAGTAAGACGATAGTGGTGCCGGCAGCCAGGCTGGGCTGCCTCTGCCTCAGAGCTGGGCTCTTGGGGGCGATCCTGTGGGGCCTTCCGGGCTGCTGACCCCGGGGCGAGGCGCTTCTGCTCTGGGACCACGGTTGTGTGTTTCCGAAACCAGCTTATCAGGCTGCCCTCGTGCCAAGAAGAGCGGAGCCAAGGTGACGCCGACGAAGGACGACAAGGAAGACCCCGAGCTGATGAAGTAAGTCAGGGCCTTGTCTGCAGAGCGGGGCTTTCTGGGATCCTCTCGATCCGCTTCCCACTAACACGCCAGGCAGTGGCAGCACCTGCTTGTACAGATGTTCTCGCCCCACGTATGTGGACGCCTGCGAAGGCGTGAGCCCTGTTCATGGTATCGGGACACACAGAGCCCAGCCATGGCTGAGAGGCGCATGCAGCGGAGGCCTCTGCCGTCTGTGGGGAAGGGTGGTGCAGGGCTGGGGAGGAGGCGATGGTTAGAAAGATGGAGGATCTTGAGGCCGGTCACGAGTGTGGGACTCACAGCCATGCGCGCTCACACATCTTCGTGGGGGCCAAGTGAGATCCTTGGAGTTCACCCGGGACTGGGGCCTGGCACGGCTGTGGGAGGAAGGCAGCCTGTGCCTTGCGTGATCCAAGTCCCTGAAGCCCTTTCCGACCTTCTCACTGGGGTGCTCGGCCCTCTCCTGGGTGCCTGTGCCCTGGTCCTGTGTCCCCCTCAGCGGGCTGGTGTCATTGCGCGGGGTCCCTCCCAGAAGGCCACTTGCCCACCTGAACCTCTACCAGCAGGTGGGGGCAAGGCCACAGGGACAAACAGGGTCCCCCGCCATGCAGCGCGCCCAGGACTTTGAGAGGTCATGTGGCAAAGCAAGAGTGGGCCCTCCTGGCAGCTGGGGAGTGGGAGGGAGTGGCCGTGGCCCCGTGCGGCCGCACCTGGGCAGCGGGGCGGGCTGGGCCTCAGATCGCCAGGCTGATCCAAGCGGGGAGCAGGTCTGACTTGACCGTGTTGCCTGGTGGTCAAGAACAGCCATTCCCGTCTCCGCTGAGGGGAGCCACCCTGGTCAGCATCACGGCTTCCCAGGGGCCCACAGCCCGCTGTGTAATAGGCTGAGACCTTTTTCTCCACTTACATTTCGAGATAACAATGTAATGGAAGCTAAATCAAAGATGCAAAGCAGGCTTTTGTTGGAATGCTGCCCGCGGACTGCGAGGGCCTGGGGCTTGCCTGGTGCTGCTGGGGCGTGGGCGCACTTGCTGTCCTGGCCCATGGTTCACACCAGCACCAGGCCGAGCAGGCTCCCGGGAACCGGCTCCTCTCCCCGTGTGCTGTGAACTTTGTTTAAAAAAATAAAACAAACAGCAAGCTTTCTGCAGCCGGCTGAGAAGGTGACTTTCAGAAACGCTCAACCTTCGGGGGGCGGGGGGGGGGGGGGTTGGGGGGGCGGTGTGTTCCCATGCGGGCGCCCTGCTTTGGCACGGGGCGTCCTGGCATGCCCTCGCTGAGCCTCTGGACGGGCTGGCGAGGAGTCTCCCGCATGGCAGGAGACTCCATGGTGTCGGTGTCTGCTCCGCTTGCGGTTAAGTCCCGTCAGCGCTTTGTGGGAATCCCTTTGGCCACAGCTGAGTAACTGGCCATCCGGGTCTGGGAGGCTCATGGGTCAGGGCGGGATGCCTCTGGCCTCGGCTTCAGCGGCATCTGGGGTCCCCGCGGCCGTCACGCCTGCTCCAGCACGGCTCTCGGCAGCGCGGAGCACCGCGCCGGCACTGCACACGCTCACGGTCACCGGCAGCCGCGGCGGCGTGGCCTGGTGGGTGGGAAGAGGGCCCCGCGTGCGTGCAGTCGCTGCGGCAGGCTGCTCGGAGAGCCACCGAGACTCTGGGTCCCACCGCCCATGGGCCTTTGGGTCTTGTCATGTCCGGGCTTCATGGCACCGGGCCAGGCCCCCTGCAGACGCCCTCAGCTGGGAGGTGTCCGGGTTTGGGGATGGGTGTAAAACGGAACCTCCCAACCCCCTGTGAGCCCTGGCAGCGTGTCCGCTCTGAATTATGGGCTGAGGTGACCTTGGATGGGGTCAGCGGACACTGCAGGCCAAGGTCCATGGGGGTGGGATGACTAAGGAGAGGGAGCTGGCAGAGGGGGACAATCAAGGCCGGGAAACTGTGGCGGCTGCTCCGACCGAGGCCGGAGCCAGGAGCCCAGATGGCCTTTTCACTGGGCAGTGCACACACACACCCCACCCCCACCCGGTGCTGCAGGAGTCCTGGGACAGCCTGGCCCTGTAGGGTTTCCTGCCCTGATTTCTCTGAGCCCAGGGACCTCTCTGTAACCTGGGCCTGTGCGGGCGGCTCTGCAGCACCAAGGGGTGGGACAGCACCGCATTAGAGGAGGCTCGCTCGTTGGAGGGAGAAGATAGGACTGGGGGAAGGAGCTTGTCCTCTGTCCCCGTTGGCCCCACAGCCCGGAACGGTGCTCGGAAGAAACGGCCCCTGAGGCCCCAGAACTCGCCGCCTCGCCCTGCTGTTTGTGACCGCAGGGGCAGGCAGGCACTCTGAGCCCCCCTCAGGTCATGTCTCCCGTCCTGGGGCACTATGATTTCTGTAGGGACCCCCTCCTCTCCTTGAACAACCTGAGCAAAGGGAAGGCCAGCACCAGGCTGGGTTCCTGTGGGGTCTGAGCCCGTTTCCCACAGAGCTGTGGCCTCCATCTGTCCTTCCAGGCACACATTTCAGATGTGCCGAAGCTGGGACACCCATGGGCATCATGCCTCATTATGGGTGGTGTGGGGTGGCAGGCTCCTGCTGTCCCCAAGCTGCTGGGCTCAGGGTGCCCTCTGACCTCTGTGACTCCTCAGCCACTCGGGCCTGTGCGTGGTGCAGGCTCCCAGCTAGTGGTCTCTGGAAGGACCCAGCGGGCACCTCCCTGCTGGCGAGTTACAAGGCGGCATTGGCAGCCGGTCTAACCGTAGGTGTGGATCCAGGACGCTGCGAGCCACCTTGGGGCCAGGGGGTCATGCTGGAGCCTGCCGGGGACCCTCTGGCTGGCAAGGGGCTGTGACCCCTGCTGCTGTCACCTCCCTGGGGCTGCGGCCATGGCGGGGCCCTGTGGGAGGGTCTCCGGGCCTTCCTCCAGCTCCCCTTGCTCACCTCGGAAACGTCTGTGCCAGGTGCCCAGTTCCAGGCTGCGTGGGGCTTGGCCACGTCAGCGGCAAGTACGCCTCGCACCGAAGCGCGTCGGGCTGCCCGCTGGCCGCCCGCAGGCAGAAGGAGGGCTCCCTCAACGGCCCCTCCTTCTGGAAGTCCCCGAGGAACGAGGGGCCCACCTGCCCCACCCCGGGCTGCGACGGCTCGGGCCACGCCAACGGGGGCTTCCTCACGCACCGGAGGTAACCGCCCTGCCCTGGGAGCCTCGGGGTCTGGGGCTGGCTGGGCTCAGGGGTGACGGGCGCTGTCTTGGGGGAAGATCGAGGTCAGGACTGGCAGCCCCTGGCAGGGCGAGAGGAAGCGTGTGGTCCAGGTGATGCGCCTGCGGCCTGTCCTGAGGTGGCTGTCACCGCCTCCCTCCACCTGCCCGGGTCCCTCTCGCCCCAGCTGCCAGCGTCTCAGGCGCAGCGTTGGTTGCTACAGGCACTGCCTTCCTGCTGGGGCCTCTTTGAAGTTTGGGGCCTCGTCCTGTCAGCAGTCCTGGGGGCTCCCCCACCCCGCCCCAGGGCGAGTGAACCTTTCTCTCCAGCCCACTCCTCTGTGCCCGGTGGTGGCTGGGTGCCACTACAGGGTCCTGTCTTCCTTCTCGTATTTCCCTCGTCGGTCCACCATGTGGTCGATTAACTCACTGTCTCACAGCTCTCCGGGAGTCCACGGAGTGCTAGGCTCTGGAGAGACAGCAGAGATGAGATTGCCGGCTGGCCCTCCTGGAGGCGCTGAGGGCAGGGCGGGAGGGAAGATGGCTGCAAACAAACACGTGAAACGCCCGGAGCGGTCAGCTGTGTCCCCGCTGGGGAGGCGTAGCGGGGAGGGTGCTGAGGGAGGTGCCAGCTTCCCAGGACATCTGGGAGACAAGTCTTCAGGGCAGTGACTGGGGTCCTAGATGAGGAGGGAGGGGGCTGGGGGACTGACTGTCCTGGGTGAGGGGGTAATAGGTCATGAGCTAGAAAGTTCCACCAGGACCCTCCCAAGCCACCACTGGGATGTGTGACCTTGGGCTGGTTTTTGAGGTGTGACTTTTGCTTCCAGTCTGTCCGGCTGTCCCAGAGCAAGCTTTGCTGGAAAGAAGGGAAAACTCTCAGGGGATGATGTTCTTGGCACGAAGTTTAAGACTAGTGATGGTAAGGATGCCCTTCGGGCAGCGTGGGACCTTGGCACCGGGGTGAGGGAGCCTTGGCGTAGGGAGGGAGTTAGGCATGCAGAACCCATCATGGTGGAGACAGACCCCTTGACCTGAGCCAGTGGGAGCGAGGCCTGTGCCTGGGCCCCCAGCACTCCAGCTCTGACCTGGGCATCCATGAGTCCTGGCATCAGAGCAGCCTGCTGGCCGCCCTGCGGGCTTATGGAGCAGAGAGCTCAGTCTCCGTGGAGAAGGCAGCTGAGGAAACTCAGTATCATCTGAAAACACTTCCATGTTGTTCTTGGCAATTAGTGCCTGTGGCCCAGGGCCAGGAGGCAGAGCACAGCCACAGCCAGTGCCCCAGACCAGCCTTCCCAGCACGGAATGTGGAGGTGAGCCCCTTACCAAAGAGCTCAGAAAGCAGGCCAGGCGCCTCTGCGTGGAAAGGGGCCCCAGTTCCATCCAGTGAGCAGACCTCTGCCACGCCCCCACTCGCTGGCCTGGGTGTGAGGCCGAGAGCCGCTACCAGGCTTTCTCTCCGGGCAGTGCTGGAGAACGACGAGGAGATCAAGCAGCTGAACCAGGAGATTCGAGACCTGAACGAGTCCAACTCAGAGATGGAGGCCGCCATGGTGCAGCTGCAGTCCCAGGTGGGTGGCTCCGCCCACCTGCCTCTGGCTCCCAATTCAACAAAGTCCTGTTGTCCTTGGTCCTTGGCCTCCTCTCTGAAGGGAGGAGAGCCGAGCCCCACATCAGGGTCACTGCTGGGCTGGGCAGATGAGCATGGTGCTCATGGCTGCCTCGGCCCGCTCTGCCGGTCAGCGTTGGTCCTTGGCGCTGGTGGGTGGTGGCCCCGGTAGAGTCAGTGCCGGGAGGCGCACACCAAAGTGTGGGCTGGAAGAGCCTGGACAGAGCTGGTCTCACGCCGTGTGGCCACACAGGCTGGGCGCAGCTTCCTGTCCTTGTGGGCGGATATAGCCGTCAGCTCCACGGGTTGTCAGAGGAGCGTGTTTCTGCGAGAAAGCAGTGCTGCCTCCGAGCGGTGGCATTGCCAAGGACTCCACGAGTGCCACATCCCTCGGACTTCCCCCCAGTGAATGCTTGCGATCAGAAAAATAGCAGTAAGATCTCATCTTGAAAAGGAGACCATGGCCTGCCCTCGGATGTTGAGTGGGCTGGAGCAGAGCTGGGCCTACGGAGGTGGGCCACACAGAGTCGTGTGCCTGTGGCTGACGGGCCAGAGGGACGAGGAGGGGAGTGAGGGCAGTGAGGACGGCACAGAGATGGGGCTCCTGACCCGAAGCTGGCCCGTGACGTGTCTAACTCCCCTCCTTCCTCCCAGGCAAGGGCTCTGTGGGCCGCCAGTCACTCAGAGGCCATGCACACACAGCGCTGGCCGGAGGGCAGGGAGGGTTCGCTATGCCAGCGGCATCTTCCCCAGGTTCGTGGGCAGTGGAAGGAGAGAGGGCCTCAGGCCGTCTCTGGGCTCCAAGACACATCTTTGTGCCGTGTCTGTCCCGCCCTGGCCCTTGGCTTCTCAAAGACCGTGGGCCCTCTGGCACCAGTAACCAGCAGGTAGCACCTCTAATTTCTCTTCATTTGCCAACACCCATCTTTTTTGTTGTTTATCCTCACCTGAGGATATTTTTCCGTTGAGCTCACCTGGGCTCCTTTCTCTCTTTTTTTAGAGAGAGTGGGAGAGCGGGAAGGAGGGAGGGAGAGAAACATTGATGTGAGAGAGACGCATTGATTGGCTGCTTCTCAGCATGTCCTGACCAGGCCAGGGACCTTGCCTGCAACCGAGGGGCGTGCCCTTGACTGGGTCAAACCTGGGAGCCTTCAGTCCGAGGACCAATGCTCCACCACTGAGTCAAAGGCCAGGGCGCCACGCCCACCCATAGGAGCATGCTCAGCGTCCTGTAGGGAGGACTCCCTGCCCCCTCCAGGGCGTTTCCGCTAGTGCTGGGCAGAGGCAGATGCCCAGCTCATCCTCAGTCCAAGCTGCCACCAGGTGCTGCTCAGGATGCTCCCAGCCACTGGTCACAGAGCCACCTGACTGGAGGAAAACACCCCCTGACCCCTTCCCCCACAACGGTGTGTCACCACCAACACTGAACTTGCCGGACCCAGGCTCCTGCGAAATCCAGTCAGGCAGGGGGTGCCCCCAAGCGTGTCTTCTCCAGGCCAGGCCTCAGGCAGGCTCCCCACCTTCCTGTGCTGGCCACACGCCTCTGCACGGCTGTGCAGGTGGCCTGAGCCACCCAGAGCAGACAGCAGGGCCTGTGGCCGCCAGCCCAGGCACCGCTGTCTCTGGCATTCCACTGCAGAGCCAGGAGCCCCTTGGGCTCTGCCTGGGAGTCTCCTCTGGTTCCTGCTGGAAACCCCGGGCCCTTTCAGGGTGCCCGGAGAAGCCATCAGCCGCTCCCCTTGGCGATGGGCTGCCGGGACAGTGGGTATCTCGCGCCCCCCCCCCCCCCCAGCAGTGTTAGACACATGGCTGGTCTTTGCGGGTGGAAACCAAAGGCAGCAGACACCGCTGGGTGCAGATTGCCCATCACCGGCGAGGACCATGAAGCTGCCCAGGACTGAGCTCGCCTGGGCTCCTTCCTTTACCCTGAGGAGTAGCCCCCCACAAGCCATGGCCCACATTGCCCTGCTAGTCTCTGTGTGCCCTGACCCAGGGACCAGGGCGCTGCCAGCCCCTCCCTGGGGCAGGGCCCTCCCTCGAGGCAGGAGATGGGCCAGGAGGACGTGAGGGCGCGGCTCCCGTCTCTGTCTGTGCAGATCTCCTCCATGGAGAAGAGCCTTCGGACCATCGAGCAGGAGAACAAGCTCATCGAGGAGCAGAACGAAGCCCTGTTCCTGGAGCTGTCGGGCCTGAGCCAGGCCCTCATCCAAAGTCTCGCCAACATCCGCCTTCCGCACATGGTGAGCAGCAGGCAGTGCTGAGGGCGCCGGGCGGGCTGCTGCCACATGCTCCTGGTCCCCGAGTTGCTGGAGATCCACAGCCAGCCTCCGGGTGACGGAGCGGAGGGGCAGTGGGTGCTGGGTGGTGTGGCCTCGGCCCTGTGGCTCCACAGCCTCTGAACCCCCGGGCTGCCACGGGCAGGGGCGCCACGGGCAGCACTTGCTAGCCTGGTTCTGTCCTCCAGGAGCCAATATGTGAACAGAATTTCGACGCCTACGTGAGCACCCTCACCAACATGTGCTCCAGCCGGGAGAGCTACCAGAACCCCGAGCACAGGGCCCTCCTGGAGAGCATCAAGCAGGCCGTGCGGGGCATCCAGGTCTAGGCCCCACCTGGATGGGGTGCCAGGACCCCAGCCGGGCTCCCTGTTTACCTCCCCGCATTGCCCTCCCAGAGGTCCCCGAGTCACAGTGACTTCTGGGGGGCAGCCGCCTCGCGGTGGATCAGAGGGGTGCCTGAGGTTGGGCTCCCTCCGATGCTGGTCAGGCCGAGGCCACAGCCTCCCTGAGCAAGGGCAGAGTGTGAAGTATTACAAAGGGGTTTATTTTTGTTTTCTGAAAATAATCTCAAGTTCAGCTCGAGGTCTCCAGTGGTTCTCAGGGAAGTTTTGGAGTTTGTGACCACGGTGCCCCGTGTCTGTGGTGCTGGGTGGCCCGTGAGCCTGGGCCCAGCCGGCGCCTGCTCTGCGAGGCGTGTGGGAGTGTGTTTCTGTTTTCAGTTCATTCAGTTTTGTGTTGAGACGGAACAAAGCACCGCTCCGGAGGGTAAGTCAGGAGCAGCCTGCAGCCCCCCGTCAGCTCGGCACAGGCCTGGCTCAGGGCTGGGCCTGGACTCGGTGCCTGACCCCGGCCTAGCCTGTCACCGCAGGGTCCGCTCAGCTCGACTGAGGGGCAGTGTCTGTGAGGTCAGGGGACAAATTCTAATTGGACACACCAAGGTCTCACTCCTTGTTAGATCGAAAGATTTGGAAAAAGGTAAATTTTAATTTAATGTGTTAAAAACACAATGTTCCTACATGTAAATAGAGCCCAAATCAGTTGTAACTGCAATTCCAAGTTAGTATTTACAAGTAGAGAAATTGCTCTTTCTGGAAGAAATAAAAAAAGTAGTTAGTTTAATTATTCTGTAAATTATTTAAATTTGTCAAGATGTAAGTATTTATATTCACAGCCTCTTTTATGTTAATGTTCGCTATTTATTTGACATTTTTATTTATTAATTTTATACTGTTTGAAGTAGCCCCCCACATGCCAGGATACCATGAGAGAGAAATGAATGAAATCAAAGCAAAATTAACGATTTGACTATGAGGTAGGCCACACATACAGGAAATCTTGCTCTAACTTCTAGTTATAATTTTGATGCAATCAAATTATTTTTAATATATTTGTTATTTATTCTTTTAATGATGGAGTTAAAGGTGTTTGTAGCGGAGGAGCTGGTCCCGCGGGAAGACGTGGCTCTCCCTCCCTCTCGGTCCCTCTGCTGCAGGCCGGCCGCTCTGTGTTTGTGTTGGTGTGTGTAGCGCAGCTGTGTGTCGTGCGATGTCCGTGTGCAGATCGTGATGGCGAGTCCTGTCTCCGGGGTGCTGGCCATGGCGCCGAGCAGTCACCCGCCCACTGGCCTCGCTCCCTGAGCTCATACTGTGACCCTCCTTCCTCAGGAAACGCGTGGAGCCCGCAGCACAGCCCTTCCCGGTGTGCTGGCGGGGATTTCCTAATAAAAGCCCACTCTGACTGTGACGGGAGTGTGTTGTGTGCACGCTGCCCCCGTGCTATGCCGTCACCTCCGTGGCAGCCCTGGCTCACCTTGCGGGGGAGTGGGAGCGGGGCGGGCTTTCATCTCAGGCCTCTTCCTGCTGCCACCCAGGGAACCTGCAACTTCCCGAGCTGTGGTTCTAGAGGGCCTGCCTTCCCGCCGGCCCGCACGCCGGGCCTGTGCAGACTGTGTTCTCGTGGCCCAGGGAGCCTCCCGCCGCGCGTGTAAGTGGTAGGGTGGCTGCGTCAGCCGTCTCTCTTCCCGGCCCCAAGGAGAGAGCCTGCAGGAGGAGAGAGCCTGGGCCTCGGGGAGGCGGGCTGAGAAGGGGGGAGAGAGCTCTGTAAGGACCTTTTCAGAGCTCCTGGATCCAGCCAGACCTGAAGGCCATACCCTTGCAATTCCCAGTTACAGGAGGCCACAGAGCAACAGAGTCCCTCTTGTTGGCTTCAGCCCTGGCCTTGCAGCAGCACCTCACTGTCTCCTGCTCCTGCGCGGGGCTCTAGCTCCCCAGGGTCAGGCTAGGCTAGGGGCACACTTTGACCTCCCTGGGAATGTGGCCCTGCAGGGTGACCATGTGAACAAAGGAGCGACTGTAGAAACCCCGGGTTTCATTTTCAAGCCCAGGCCGGGCACGTGGGGTGAGAGGTGCCAGTGCCCCTGTAGGACAGAGGGCACACCACAAGCCTGTGTCCTGGGGTCCCGTTGCTGAAGCTCCACTGGTACAGGGGTGCCTGAGGCCTGGACTGTGCCCACTGAGCCCCGCTCATCAGCACTCAGGTGCTTGGATGTCAGCAAGGCTGATTCTGAAGTGTCTGCTCTGCAGGCCGAGAGTTCGCTGGGGAGTGGAGGGGGCAGGGAGTGGAGGAACAGGGTTGCCCCCTCTTGGAACAGTTGGTCCAGGTAGATGCCATGGCCTGCTAGGATGCTCCGACCCTCCCAGGTGGGTGGCCCTGCTCAGAGGCCCTCAGGACTCCTTGAGGCAGAGGCACACCCCCTGGAGCTCCTCTGGTCCCCCGCCGATGGAGCTGAGCAGGGGCCCCCATAGTCAGGCCAGAGTGGGGGGAGGGCCAGGACTCACGAGGCAGCTGTATGGCTGTGTGGGTGCGCATGTGAAGAGGCCTGGCACGTGGCCCCAATGAGTGGGGCCCCAGCAGATCTGAACAGGGGAGCCCGTGGATGTGTTGGTAAGCTGGGAATGTGGGTGTTTGCCAAAGGCACCCAGTTTGGTTGGGCATTTGAATGGCTCCTGGGAGCAGGGGGCATGGGCAGGGTGAAGCATGCAGCCCAGTACCCTCCCCACAAGCTGCTGCCACCCTGCGAGTGGGAGACGAGCCAGGACTGTGACCTTTGAATATTGTTCAAGCCCCTAAACCCTTTAAGTGGGAGGCTGCACAGACCCTGACCCGGCCGAGATGGAGGGTCAGAGCTCAGCACCATGGAGCTGCCCAGACAGACCCTTCCCAGAGGGTCTCTGGCTGCCACTCCTCGGTCCGGCACAGAGCTTTGGCGGGGCCACAGCCGCGCAGGGACGTACGCTCTGCAGGCGGGCGGGGGGCAGTGTGCCCGCAGGGGCAGCCACAGGCCTGAGGCATGTGCAGCGGCCGTCAGGAGTGCTGGGCGAGGCTCGTCCTGGGGGCTCTGGCTTCCGATGCACAAGCACAGGTGACGGCTCTATGCCCCCCCTCCCCCCACCTTCTGCAGGTCATGTCCAGCCTCTCAGTGAGGGGCCCCCACTACATGTGCTGAAGGAGGGGGAGCCTAGACCCCAGCTCACTCACCCTGAGGACACCCTCGAACCCACCCCCCTTCCCATCTGTACCAGCTGCCACTCCTGGTTCCAAGCTGCCCTGGCGGGTGGCAGCCACTGGATGTCTGCACATAGCTGCCACGCAGGCCACCCGTAAGCACCCACAGTCTCACCTGGCACCTTCCGAGCACCCGCATCTGCTCCCACCACCTTCAGTGACACCTGCCACCAACAGCTTCGGTCTACCGGAGCCCACTCTTCCCAAACTGGCCCCTCACTGAGGCGGTTACCCCAACCCCCCACTCCTCCTCTCAGCCACAGAGAGAGTGGTGAGTGGTGGGGAGCTGGCAGAGGAGAGGGGACCCTAACCTTGGGACTACATCCTAGTAAGTGTGGTGTCCTGTGGACGGACCTTTGGACCGGGGTCTGGTGCGTTTTCTTTGTAAGGACCCTGCATCAGTCAGGTTTCTCCAGGAAGACAGAACCAATGGGAGATAGATTAGGTATATCATAGATTTAGTCTAACAAATCGCTCATGTGATTGTTGGGGCTCAGGCTGAACTCTGCAGGCCCCAGGCCAGAGGCTGGAGACCCAGGAAGTGCTAACGCCGGAGCTTCGCACCGGAAGGCTGGCTGGGCTGAATGCAGTCTTCCCTGGGGTCTCGGTCTGCTTCAGGGCCTCAGCTGTGTGGACGGTGGAGAAGAATTTGTAGTACTCAAAGTTTACCGATTTACATGTCAGTCACTTTAAAACACACACAAAAACATTAAAAAACAACAACAACCTTCACAGCAACATCTAGACTAGGGGTGTCGAACTCAATCAGAGAAGGGGCCAAAATCTAAAATCCAGCCTAAATCGCGGGCCGAATGGTTTACTGAACAGTCATAAACTGTCATTGTGATGGAAACGCAGCGGAGTGCAGTGATGACAGCGCGGTGCGGGCCACATTGCAAGGCCTGGTGGGACGGATTTGGCCCTCGGGCCTTGTGTTTGACACATGTGATCTAGACTGATGTTTGACCAACCACCTGGGCCCACGGCCTAGCCAATGGGCCCTTCCCCTTTCCCTGGGCCCATGCATGGGAATTTTTATTAAGGTGGTTTGTCTTAAGATAAGTTATTTTTATCTTACGAGTCATTTACATGCACAAATAAAAAGATTAGAGTTCACCAGTATTTTCAGGTCAACATCACGCCCCTGTTGCCTGCACAGCAAGAGCAGAGAGGCTGGGACAGGACTGAGCTGCGCGAAGACTCCGCTCTGGCTGCAAATGCCTTGAAAAGAGGAAGAAATACCTTTCCCTGTTCAGAGACTCGTGTGGCTGTTCCCATCACAAAAGCTGTGCTGTGGCGACCCCTTGTGGTGAAGCTGGAGTCTTGTTATGACTGTGGCCTCAAGCTGCTGAGGCACACACCCTCCAGCTCCCTTCCCGCAGCACAGTCAGAGGCAG